GCGCACTTGGAACCCTTCATCATCAAATCCACCGTACCGCAGGCTACGCACTTCCAGTCCATCTTCGTACCTGACTCTGCCCACTCTGCCTCCTTGGGCAGGATCGTACCCAGATGGACATTGGGCACCAGGCGCCGTGATAACCACCCCTTCAGTTCATCGCGGAGTCGCGGGGCTGACGCTAGGATTTCCTACAGGGTCATAAGGTCATTATGCCCTTCCAGCAGCCGGTCAATCACCTTCTCTACGTCAAATCCCTCTTCCAACCGGACCGCGTATTTCTTATTTTTGGGCGGTCCGTCATGTATGACAGGTTCGGCCTCTCCCCTGGTTCCCTTTTTCCTTGCCCGCTGCTCCGCTCTCTGATCCTCTTTCTGCGCAGCCTCTCGTCCTCTTCCTCTTCATCATCGTCGTCCTCTACTTCCACAGCTTCTTTCCTTCTCCCTGGTTCGTGTTCCCTCCTTGGAGGCTCTTGGCTGGTACTGGCCTTGGCTTGATTCCTCGTTCGCGCTGCCTATGCTAGCCGGGCCTGCGGAGTGAGGGGTCTCCCCCTCATTCCTGATTGTGGGCACGACCCCACCACATTTACTCCGGGTCGCCCAGGCGCTGACTCCGGGCCGGAGTCATAGAGGAATACTATGGGGATGTTAGACCTTCATCCTTTCACTTCTTCACAGAGGCCCACCAACTTCTGTTGGCACCTCCCCATCTTATCCAGCAAGTCCTCCATCTTCTCAAATAAGACGGACGGAGGCTCCGTTCTTTCCTCCTCATCCTCGTCATCTGACTCGATGATTATGGCCTCTTCCGTCTCACTTCCTCCTCGTAGCCCTCGAGTCACTTCCTCATCGCTTCCCACTTCTTCCACCCCAAACGGTGGTTCCTCCTTTTCCTACCATAGCCTGAACATGGCAGGGGGTGGCGGCCCAGCTGCCGCTCTTCGTTGGGCTTCAACCCTCACTCCTCCAAGCCTTCTGTCACTGGCCACCCCAAACTGATCGTAGATATTCCCATCCATAGTAGAGGAAATCAGTCCGCTTCTCTCGTCTTCCCGTCTTATATTATAGAACCTTATAGTGTGGCCTTCCTGGTCACAATGTTGACAGATGGCCGTCCTCCAGTCAAAGCGGGGTCTTCCATACCCCTGACTTTCCTGATCCCCCTGGCCTTGATACCCCTTGCCTTGATAGCCCTGGGCTTGGTACCCCTGGCCTTGACTCCCTTGGCCTTGGTACCCCTGGCCTTGACTCCCTTGGCCTTGGTACCCCTGGCCTTGACTCCCTTGGCCTTGGTACCCCTGGCCTTGGCCATTCCATTGCCTTCCTCTTCCCCTGCCATTCCTGCCTCGCCCCTTTCCTCCACCCCTCCCTCCGCTGCCTTGATTGCCCTGCCCCTGGTTCCCACCTCCTACAACACTGCCCTGTGAAC